CTGCCGCTGGACCGCGGCTACTGGCCGCGATTTAGGGGCTGCGGTTCACGGGGAGGGGCAGGAGGGCAGGCTCGGGCTGGGGGCTGCTCTCCTGGGGTGGAGGTGCAATGCCCAGCGCCCAGGCGAGAGGGGAAAAAAGGGGAGGGGGGGGGGGGGGGGGGCTGGAGGATCCTTCCACCCTCCTGCTACAGCAAGGCTTAGGGCTGGGGGTTTCCTTCCCTCCCGAGGGCTGGTTAGTTATCTGCAAGTTTTGTCTCTGCCTCCCCTTCAGGCTCTAGCACATCCCTCAGTCCTAACCGGGCAGTTCTCCTCTCTGGTCCTGTCTGGCTGCAAAGGGGATTATTATAACATGTGATCTTCTTCCTGTTATTTATATGTGCTTTTTTTTTTTTTTTTTTTTTTTTAGGGTGGAGGAGGAGGAGGAGGATGGGTCGGTTCCGCACCTCCTCGTCGGCTGGGCTGGTCCTTGCTGCGCTCAGATGCAGGCGTTGTTTTCCAGCCGCACCTTCCCCTCCCGGAGCCGGTGCGTGCGTGTGCGTGTGTGTGTTTATGCGCGTGTGCGTGCGTGTTTCTGTGTGTGTGCGCGCGTGTGCGTGTGTGAGCGCGTGTGCGCGCGCGCGCGTGTGTGTGTGTTTGTGTGTGTGCGCAGGGCCGGGGCAGCCGGCGCAGCCCGCCCGCTGCCTGCTGTCCCTGCAGCACCCTCTGCCAGGCCGCCCGGCACATGACACCTGCCCTGCAGCGGGGCGCTGCCCGGCGCCCCGGGGACACAGCCCCCGCCCAAGGCACCCACAGGGCAGCCCCGCAGCGCGGGGAGGGCGGGGTGGCTTTGGGGTTTTCAGGTGTGGCTCACACGGTGCACAAACGGGCGGATGCGACGGGTTTCTTTCCATGATCGCAGGCGTGCGCTGGGACGGCAAGGGGACTTGTGCCTTCCCGGAGAAGCTGGGGTGTCCCCTCTGGCACCACTGACACACGTGCCTGCCCCAGCCAACACCGGGCACGTCCCTGAAGTCGGATTTGCTCAGGTAACTCCAGCGCAAAGCTCCCAGGGACCCAGAGAGGCTCCAGCACGTAGCGATCAGGGGATGAAAGTGCCCAGCCCTAGACATAATTTTAATTCGGGGAATGAGTTCCCCCCCCAGCTTCATTCTGTCTTTCTTCAGCTTTCACGGCAGTGTAATGCCATTAACTTCTGCTTGATGTCACAGAGGGAAGCAGGTCCGATGAGAGTCCAAATGTAGACGAGGTTATTCTTGTGCCCATGTGTGCACAGGATCAGACCTTAGAGGGATTTGGAGAATGTGGGTCATACAAAGAAGAATAAGGAAAGATTTATTTCCCTTTGGGGTGGGAATGTTTATGTAAGACAGGGTTATTTAGCTAGGATTTGGGGTAGAATTTTCTGACTTTACTCTTACCTTCCTTTTTTGTATGTTTTTAATAAGAAAACCCAATAGAAAATTTAAAAATGTGAAGGGGGCTTTTCCCTCTCCTTTTTGTCTTTGCCTTTTGTTTGAAAACAGCTACAATACTGTATAATTACAAAACAAAATTCTCCTGCCATAAATGACAGTTAGTATCCTTCAGAGGGTTTGAGTCTGCTGTGCGCTCAGCTCCCCTGGGATGTTCTGAGTTCTTTCAACTCAAGCATCTTCAGTGGGAGCTGGGGATGTGCAGTATGTCCTAGAGCTAAAGCCAATGTGACATTAATGAGATGCTGTCATTTAATAATTGTGCTTTGTTGTCATGGCTTGTTGATTGCCGCCTTTGTGGGAAAATGCAGTATTTTTTTATTCCCAGGTTTTAGGCTCATTCCTAACTGAAATGTTTCTCCCAGTTAATTTCACCGGGCTTGAACTGTGGCACTTCAGAAAATTCCCTGGCCAAGAGTTGTAGTTCCATGGATGTAATAAAGGTCAAGAAGCCCTTGTATAATTTAAACAACAACTCAAAATGGAGACCAAAGTTCATGTTGCACTGTAAGTGGAAAATCAAAGTTAAGTATATTAATTTACTTGTGATGTCTGGATGGCAGTACCATAAGACTTTCTAGTTGTTGTTGACTGTAGGGTATAAAAGTGACTTAGAACTGAAAGCCTTAATTCTTCTTCCCAATTATTGCCTGTCTTGAGAAAACCAATGCTAATGACTACATTTCCAGTTTAATACTACTAAAATCCATTCATGCCTGTGAGCTAAGAGGAGGTAACACCTAAGGGGGAAATTTTGCTTTTATCACTGACAACTGTTGTCTAGAAGTTGAATTGATGAGATCTGAGGAACAGTCCATACCTAGAGGTGTCAAACAGAGAATGCCCATCTTAGCTGAACAGTGTGTGTGAACAGTGATGTAAATAATAATTATTAACTTCAGTCAGTTCCTAAGCTATAGAAATGTAAATGCACAATCCTTGAGGTCTCAGGCAAGGATCATGCTCCAGACCATGACTCTCACTAGGATGTTGGGGGAATCGGATGATTTGGAAAGTGACTGAGTTTGCTCTAGTGGCTTAGCACAGCACCAGCTGACAAAGCACCCAGAGAATAAACAGCAAAACTGTGAATCATTCATTTTGGGGGAGGAGGGAAGAGCCAATAGCATGGCACAGTGGGGGGAGGTGTGTCACCTGTGCCGCCTGCCCTCTCTGCTTGACAGGCCTGTTTGCAAAAGCCAGAGGACAGGCTGTCCTCTTCAAGATCACCCCGGAGTGGTGGTACATCTGAATCGCTTAGCATCTTGCTTGCCTGCACCCTTCGTTCCCCGTTCCTTGTACCTCTCCAGTTTGCCTTGCCTTTCCTCCTCCTATTTCCTCAGTAGCTATGACCAGCCTGAAGGAAATCTGTCGTGGTCTTCCTCTATACCCTTTGCCTGAAAACAGAGGTCGGAGGAAAGGAATACCCCATGCACCAGTGAGAACCCCTAATCTCACTGCTCAGGAGAAAAAGGTAACATGGGGTTTCACAGGGCCTCACTTCTCTTTCTTTCAGATAAATGCAGCTCGGGGCAGCAGACCTGATTACCTCAAATACTTTTCTGAGTGTGCACCTAACTTTGTGGCAAATGTATTTCCTTGGTGTTATAATTTCAGTGGGTAATGGAACAAAGTAGTGGAAACTCTACTGCTTGCTTGCTTTCTTCCTCCCCCAGAGGTAAGCAGGTTGATAGGAGGGATATTTGCTGCACAACAGCTTCTGTTCAGTGTTGTCAGTCCAGCATTGTTCCTTGGAGATGAAATTATGAATGCTGTTGCAAAAACACTGCATATGTATGGGAGTGAAAGCTAACCTCTCAAATACAATAAACATCAAATGTGGTGAATCAACATCACGGTACAAGCTACACATCTGTATATTTGCATAAAAAAATCCAAAGATAATTTATCTTAACCAGTAGTCTGAAGTGTTCTGGAATTTAGGCAAGTTTGTAGGGAGTTAATTATTTGTCTTTAGTTGTGTAATTCTTTTCCTGTCTCTTTTTGTTTGAATACTCTATGTACACACTAAAGTAATCATTGCATTATTTCACGTTAGAGATTTAAAAAAAATCATCAGCAGAAAATAATGGTCAATGGGTGGACATCCTTAGGAATTTGTGTGGGAGAGGATAAGGTGGGTTCCTTAGTTTGAAAGTCTGTGCTTCATCACACTTAACATCACTTTTAATGTGGCATTCTGATCAGAACACATAAGTTCCTTCCCCACTAACAAGTTGCACGCAACTTCCTTGCCTTCGTGGGAGTTCCCCACTGGCATCAGCAGATGAATTCTTTCGAAGTCCACTTCCACAAGCAGAGGAGAGCCTAGTCAAAGGGTAGAAAGAGGAACAGCTGTGAGATATCCAAAGAGGATATACTTCAATGTCAGGAGCATTCATGGCTGAGGCATCCTGTCTGTGCCTGGGACAGTTCAGACACATGGAAGTGTGGCTACTAAGTGGGCAGAAGGGGGCTGTGGTGTGTGGTGATGGCTGTGAAGATAAAGGAGCAGGGAGTGAGTTTCACTGCATGTCAGAACATTGCCAATCATCTCCATTTTATCCCTTGCCTTTGCTAAATCACTTTTCCCCATGAGAAGTCTGCTATAGCATGAAGGAGTCCATGTTGCAGTGCAGAAGGTGGTATCTCTCAAGAAGATGCCAAACCTTACTCTCTACCTGGGGAGAGAAAGGTAATGACAAAGTCCTCACTCCCTATATAGAAACTGGAATAGTTTCCTGCCTCCTTTAAGTGTTGCAGGGAGATGGCAGTAGACTGATTTTCTGGTCCCAGTCTACTGTCTAACATCCTACCCTCATCTCTCCTTCTTATCTACCACATGTGATAAGAAGTCATGCTAGTTGGGTTTTTTATTAGACTGTTAAAGATTTAAAAGCTTCCTTTCTGATTTATTTTACTCTTAATCTTCCACCTTAAACTCTTAACAGAGTTAGAGGCTCAGCTGGTATTTATTTTATATCTGAAAGGTCAAATCTCTTTTTTTTAAGAGGTGTTCCATGCTTAGAAAAGCATGTAGACAGACAACTATAGAAAACTCTGTCTGTCTACAAGGTGGTTTTTAAGTCTTGAAAGAAGCTTCCAGATTTTGTTGGCAGTGTATAATGCTGAGCGTATTGTGAGGCTTGTCTTTATGTATGACACTGTTTTCATTTTCTAATTGAAGTGCTCAGGGGAAGCTATGACAGAAGTGAAGTTAATAATGCTCTGCTAATTTCCTCAGGATTTGTCCCTCTCTTCATATGCCTTCATTCCAGTTTTAGCCCTTTCTACAACAATAAACCTTAGCACTGCCAATGTTTTATTTTCTTGGGCCTCCTTTTGTGGTTATAATAGAAAACCTGTAAGTGAGATTTGTAAAGTTCTGTGTGTTTTGGGGCTTGCTGAAGAGGTATATAATTCTTCCTATCATACCAACTTTAATCTTCTTGGATAAATCAAGCCATTTCTCAGAACTGATTCGGTTTATATGTTTCCTGAGTTCTCTTCCTTTGGCATTCTTTGCCTGAGGCCTGAAACAGCCACATCCTCTCTCTTTCCCTCCCCAGCTCAGGAAACCCTAGCTTTCTGTTTCTCAGCATCTGTATCTTAATGTAAATGTGCTGCAAAGAAACTACCCCTAAAATCTTACGCGTGATGTGTCCTTTGCAGAGCAAGGATGTTGCATGCTCAATACTCACTGACATGCCAGTAAAGCTGGAGCAACTTGGGAAGAACGTGCACTTCTCAGTGTTTCTCAGAATCAGGAAAAAATGGTATGTCTTCATCCATGCAGCAGTTCCTTTACATATCTTAGAGCCAAATCATGTTACAGTCTTCCTACTACCCCAGCATGATCATCTGTTACCTGATTGCAGTATCACTTGTGTCTGTCATAGGGCCCTGAGGTCAGTAATGGGCCTTGATGACCTTGACAAGCCTCACCTGAGATCTCCACCCATGCCCTCTGCCCATAGGCTTAGGGGCTCCATTTAAGCTCAGGCCTGGGATTTGGTTCTTGGTTATGTTGGAGTTGCATTTGTCTCTGGTTCTGTCACAGGGCATCCTAGTGCCCAGCCATAGACCTCATTGATCTGGTCTCCAACCTGTGGGCTGACTTGCTGCTATGAACCTTCCCGGTGATTTCTGGGCCCTATCTCTCTGTGGTAACCATCACCAGACCTGATCCTGACTGGCACTCCTAGCTTGGCCCCAGACCTGCACATCACCATGATCTTGCCTGATGACGTGGACTCCTGGTGGAACCTGGCTGCCATCCCTGGGCTGCCCTGCTCACCTCTCTCAGGTACTATGAGGCTGGACCCTGGCTGGTGAGGTGCCTGTCCTGCTGGCTGTGTCATTCTGACTCGGTATCCCTTAGGGAGCACCTGGGCCTTGCTGCTTCATGACATCCTAGTACAAAAAGCTGAAAACCAGAGCCTGTGAAGTCGCACAGCACTTGAAGTTCTTGTTGAACTTTCTGGAGAAGTAGCAGGATATTTGACCTTAACGGTTGTTCTACACATCCAGAAATGAGGCCACTTCTAAAAGTTTATATGTGGATTAGAAGGCCAGCCTGTTGGATCCTGTTCTGGAATGTCTGGATGATAACTTTGCTAAACTTTCACAGCCCGTGGGGCATTTATAGCAATGGCCAGTCAGAAATCACCATATTTACTTCCTAACTGAGCTGATCTAAACTGAGACCTATCAGGAAGAATAATACATGAAACAACCATCTTGCTTTTACAGTTGCTCTTTAGAGAATAGTGCCAGCAAAGATTCTGGGCCTCGATATCATCAGGCAGAAGAGGACAAGTGGGAGACAAGCAACATCTCCACTGGGAAAGGGCAGAACTAAGGATGAAACTGTTGTAGAGTTTAGCTTGTCATCTTCCTCTCCTCATGCTTCCCTTCCTCTCAGTAAACAGGGAGACTGCAAATCTTAGTGTTTCAGTGTCTCAAGATCCTTAAATTGGAAGTCCTGATGATGGTGTTAGAAAAGGGAAATGAATGCCATTCCTTCTGAAGAGACACTGGTTCTTCAACAAACACCAGTTAACAAAGAGGCTAGTATTCTTGATTTCTCAAGAGAATCTCACAACAAAGATATTTACAGCTGATCAATTGGAGCAGGATTTCATGGGTTCTTTTGACTACATTTTCGTGACATTGAGAGGTCTGAATCTTGATTAGATGGCAGCAGGATCGTGTTTTGCTGTATAAATGCCAGTGAATAAAAAAAAAGACACCCTACTAGTGACTAGAGCTTAAACACAAGAATCAAATGTTAGATCCAGCTGGCAGATCTAAGAGGAAGAATTTGCATCTGATGCTTGTATTGCACTGAGCTGAACTGAATCAGTAACTCAGCAAATTCAGAGCGGGTTTTTTAAAACAACCTGTCAGGCTCAGAAGTATAAGTGCAATTGATTTTTTTTTAAGACATCAGTCAACTCTGGACCTGTTTTTTCAGAGGTGCTGAGCACATGCAGCTTAAGCTTCTGTCAGTGGAAGTTATGAACAGGAAGAATACCTAAATATCAAATGTACAATGTCTAATATTCAGAATGCAATGTGTCAGTTATAGGTAAAATCAATCCTACTTAAAGGTCAGAATAATGTTTTATATGGTGCTTTAATGAAATGTTAGGAATAATGGCCTTGTATTGCCTTTCCACAAAAGCATGATGAACAGCCTATTTGAATTTGCTTCTTGAGTCCCTTTCTCAGGTTATTCAGTTTATGACTCAATAATGAATATGCAAAATTCTTCCTGATGCACATGGCAATTGCCCTTTCATAAAGCAGTCAGGCTCCATCTAAGCAATTTTAAGCGCCCTGGCTCCCCTATTGAGAGACTGTTTCAGAATCTCTTATGTTTAAATTCTTCTAATTTCAAGACTACATTTTTATGGTTAATTCACAGATATTTATTCCTCTTCCAGCATTTCCCTGAAGCTCCTTCCTGCTTTGACATTTATCCTGCAGTGAGACAGCAATCAAATGTCACCTTTGTTCAGTTAAGCTAAACAAGCCCCAGTCTTAGTCCTCTTTCATAAGATCAGCTGTCTATTGTCTGTGGAACCAAGGCGCCCTTCCCACCCTTCATATGACATCCAAGTTCATGTTTCATTAATGTTTGCATCATCAAAATTCAGGCTTCTGCTAATGTGTAACATTAATAGGATAGAGGCTCAGTCTAAGTGAATTTATTTGAAAATCCAACCAGATTTTGCTTGCTTGTATTTTTAGGGCGAAGAAAAATATTTGCCCATCAGTTTCATCATAATACAAATAATATATTGATCAAAGACTGGGTGATCCTTGCCAGACTGGAAGCAAAACACTCATCCTGATAGTTCTCTTTTTCTCATAGGCAGAAAAAATGCCAAATGTGGCAATGTTTTCCTCTTGATTTTGTTGTTGCAAGGGGTGCAGGTGATTTTATTCTTACTTTAAAAATTTCTTAGA